TTTATATTGTCAGGAAACATTCACAGGGAAGATAGCGATTGAAAATCTCAGGTAAGCGTTCCTTTTCATTATTGTTTTACTAAAAAATGTTGTCCACTCCTATACAAACGCCATTTTTAACTACGTTTTGGACAGTTAACTATACCCTAAAGCATAGTTAACTTTAAGTACTTTTTAACTGCAGTTAAGGCTAACTACACTTTTATACAACCGGCGTAGCTACGTGATTAAAGTTAACCACTTTTTAACTACTTTTTAACTGCAGTTAGCGCTAACTACGTTTTTATACAACCGGCCCCTGGCGTTTAGTAGGACTTTATAACATAACCAAACTTTTTGTATTTTCACGAGGCAAAGCGCCCTCCCCTACAAAATGGCCTCGTGTATCACGGTTGACCAGTTTCTACTTAAATGACGATAATTAATTATAATAATAGGGCATTTGGGATGGTAGAATTTCGGTCATGTTTAATTATCATTTAATTACTATCAATTTTAATAACGGTTAATAATTACTATTTAATTACTATTAATTTTAATAATGTTTAATTAGTACTATTTATTTACTATTAATTTAAATAATGTTTAATAATCACTTAATTGCTATCAATTTTAATAATGTTTATTAATTATACTATTATTATGTATTATATATATGCAGGGTCATATGAACAGCAAGTCTACATATTTCGTCCAAATATTCGGTCCATTTTATCAGGATTGATATTCAGTCTATTTTATTTCGCACCAAGTCTATTTCGTCCAAATATTCAGTCCATTTTATTATAATTTAGCTTCTCTTCTTTATCTGTTGATTTGTACAACTTGATTGAAAAATAGCACAAAATAACCAGATCTGTAAAAACCACTAGAAGAATCGCCTCGACGCTAAGTGCTGACACCACATCCGTGTTAATCTGCCCCCGCTTGAGTAAACAGTCCTTGATCACTGCCTCGAACTGATATTTAGATGCAATAAATGACGTAATATGGAATAGCTGATGACTCTGACCGATTACATCAAACGAGACTGGAACGAGCCTTTCGGGCAACCTGAACGCAGGCACCAGCCCGACTGCCGGGTTCCATAATATGTGTAAGTAATGGTGCTCTAGTGGACTTGATTTATAATAGAGTAACCAGTTCATCATGAAAGCAAATACGAATAGAAACGGCACTGAAAATGCAGCAACTCTAAGAAAGACACCTTTTGTGGAGTTTGCGTCATGACAGTGCCTTGATAAACAGCAGCCTATGAATGATATTATTACCAAAACCACGCAGATATAAGTGAATACATACGCCATCACAGAGTTCCTGGCGTGCTCAGGCGAGGTATAAGCCAAAAATGCCATAGAGGACGCACAACTGTAAACGCTTATACCCATGTAGTCGAGATAGAAAACAAAATGGCGCACTTTCAAATTCATCGATGAAAACGCATGCGCAACAGAACTCAGCAGGGGGTATAAACATAGGCCAAGCCCAACGCAAAATAATGGCCAGTAATAGTTGTCTTCAAAGAATGGCAGGTCCATTTTATAGATTGTCCAAGCGAAGTAGGCGAAGACTAGAAAATGTGACCAAAAGTTGAATGTCTCGTTGTGCCATTGGAATATGCTCAGGACGCTTTGGGTGGCGGTAATGCCCGCAGGACGATATGATGAAAGGATGAATTTGTCTTGGTAGCAGTCCGGTACCTAGAAAAAGATTATGATGACAATATTTAATTAGAATCGTCCAATTCAGGCAAAAAATTGACGTCAATTCAAATTGACTGTGTAATTTTTAGTCTAATTTGAAAGATCATTGAAAACTGTAGAGTAACTTCTTTGAAAGATTTTTTGTTTTCTTGCTTCGACATATTTCATTTTGTATGGCATGCAAAGGACCAACTTTGTACGTAACATATGCATAATGATATTATCTCGTCGTACTCTAGTAAACAGCCTTGTCATGCCGATCTTTGACTACGCTGATTTTGTGTGGGGTGATAAAAACAACTCTGTCCTGATGAACCACCTTCAAGTTCTTCACAACAAAGCCGCTAAAATCATTCTTGACGCTCATCCACTCTCGTCAGCCTCAGAATCCCTACGATCGTTAAATTGGCAGCCGTTAGCAACTCGTAGACACCTTCACCGTTGTCTAATCATGCACAAGTGTTTAAACAATGACATCGATTTTAAATTTAATTTCAAGTTCTCCTCTGACATCCACAGCTACAACACTCGTAACAAACAGAATATTCATTTGGAACGCGTCAAGAAGAACTGGGGGAAGCAGGCATTCAGCTACCATGCTGCCAACGATTGGAATAGTCTGCCAGTGGAAATCCGAAATATACAGCAAATTAAAACTTTTAAAACTAAACTAAAGAAACATTTAGCTACATAGCCATAGGACTCACTACCGAACCGATTGGATGCGCAAGAACTTTATACGATATAACTTTTCATATATTCACTTTTGTTAGTTTTATATTTTTATTCTTTTTTTTTATCAGGGCTCCACTGAAAATCACTTTCGTGAGTGGACCCCCTGACTAAATATTGTAATTATTATTATTATTATTTACTTTAAAATGTTATATAATCTTGTCACAGTCAAAAAAATTCGCTCAAAATGAATGATGAGCCCGAGATCTGTCCACAACAAGACCCATGTAGGTTTTCAACAGATTGTGTTTAGTCGTATTAAAGTATACAGCTTTTAGGGCGAAATCATATGCATCATACAAAATGAAATATTTTCAAAACGAAAAAGAAAACAAAAATCTGTCAAAGAAGTTACTCTACAGTTTTCAACGATCTTTCACATTAGACAAAAAAATAACACCGTCGATTTTCGAGTCAGATGCCCTTTAAATGGACTCCCGCTTCAAACAAAAACAATTACAACTAGAGAGCACTCAGAGACTGCATACCTCCGCCCGTTACTCGGAAGTGAAAGGCAACCTTGGAATTTCCTAAGAAATCCACTTTACAATTCTTAAGCATAAAAGATTTCAGGCCCCCGCGAATTGAAATCGAATTGCTAATAGAACATATTACTGTTGTTGTGCTGTACAGTACTTGTAAAATAAAAACTTATTAAGTGTCATTAAATAAATGCATAAATTTTGCTTTATGCACTCGCGCGTGCAGTAATTTTCACAGTTGTGCTATTTTAAATTCCCAGGCAGCTAAAATCTTTTGTCTTTAAAACAATGTCGATTTCTTGGGAAATTCCGAGGTTGCGTTCTTTTTATACACCCTGTATTGAAGTAATCTAATGTTGTTAGAATTTGAATGGACTGGCACTTTGCTGAACGTAATAATGCGTAACTCCGTAAGCCTTGTTTTAGACATTGAATTTCGGTCGCGTGAAATGCAACTAAGACAATAGATAATGAAGGCCGAAGCTTAATGAGGTTTATCATCTCATTACTGTCTTAGCACTGAGTGCATAAATTATACACGTCCTAATTACGCATTCAGTAATATATTTTGTTAATTGACCGGGAAAAGCAAGACAAAATTTTGTTCATTTCTCGTTCAATTTTTAACCAAATTCAACCAAATTTTAATCAGTTCTTCCTTAGCCGATGGGAAATGCATTCAAAAAATTTCGTACGGATATGTTTGGTATTTCTTGAGTTATCGTGCTCACAGACAAACACACACACATACACACACACACACACACACACACATACACACACACACACATACACACACACATACACACACACACACACACATACAAACCCAGATGATTACATAACCTCCTGGCGGAGGTAAACACATACAAACCCAGATGATTACATAACCTCCTGGCGGAGGTAATAAATATGACATTTACATAGAACATACAAATTTACATAATGAATTAAGCTGCTTATGCATGACAAAATATCTAGTTACTTATAAAACTGTCGTATGTGTCAATATGTAAGTTAAGTGGTCCTAAAATATTGTTTTAGGGCTATCTTAAACTTTAAAGGTCTTGTTTCATTCCTTAGATGAGATGGAAGTTCATTCCATATTTTAGCTCCGCCATACTTGAACTTGGAACTTGACGGTCTTAGCTAATGGTAAACGGAGTAAATCTTTGTGCCTTGTGTTGTGTTGTTTCTGTTTGAGTTGGGATGGCTAGGTTGGAATGGGGTGCTTTCACACTCGTAAGACACCCTGCCACCCTGGTTACAAATTTCGTGGTTAATTAATCTAAAATTAACCCTGTTTGGGCACAGGAGCCCATCCCGGGTCTCATTGAAGTTATGCCTTATATGATAGCATTACAATATGAAATATATAGCTCAGTGTTCAAGCCTGCGATTTGCGGGCTAACGTGCGCAGTAGAGTAGAGTATTCAGTCAATACTCCACCGTGGCCGGGCATATTTTTCAAGCTCGCCCGGTGTGGATATACACTCAGAGTAACACCACAAATATCATATTCACCTGAGTACACTACACCAACACAGAAAAAAAATAAACAGTAGATGTTATATAAGGGCAGATATAGACCCATTGCATAACCGTGATTGCACATGACGTCACAGCGCCGGTGACGATGCATCTGGAGGGCAAATTAGCAATCTATGCATAATATAACTTTTGCAAATTTTGTAAAACTTCATAATAATTTTGTATTAAAATGGTTAATTTTTGCGCTGTATGTGGTTGTTGTACGCGCACATATATTGTTAGGGAGCATCTGGAGGACACTCTAAGGATTTGTGACGTCAGTGCAATGGGTCTGATTAACCCATTGAGCAACCAGCAATCTTCTTTCACGAGTATTGAGTAAAGTCGTCTGGCGTTAAACAGAGTGAAGTAATTAAATAAAGTAGGGCTCGTTCATAGGCATAAAACAGACAAGTAATGAATTCTTGGCTACCTGATCTCGATGCAACGACATGGTTTGTGTCTGTCGAACGGACTTGATATTGGTCCAATGTTTCGACGTGATTTCACTCTTGAGAGGATCCTGGTCAAAGAAGGAAGGAAACAAACTTAAAACAAACAAATCAGTATTCGTATCATCCAAACTTTGTATTAGAATGTCACAATCAATTTCCCGACTGACTTTAACGCCTGTATTCTAAAAGCTCACACTCAATGAATGGAGGTTCAATCTGAGTTTCTCTTGAGTGCCAATGCTGTTTTTGAATAGCTGGAGGGTGAGTAGTCACCGAGTAAGGTATAACACTAGCCCTCCAGCTATTCAAAAACAGCATTGACACTCAAGAGAAGCTCAGATTGAACCTCCACTCATTGCGTGTGAGTGAGTTTTACGCCCGTATCTAAATGCTCACTTGCACCGATTTATACTTCGAGACCACTGATTTACGCATTCGCCAAAACATTCCAATTACTCTCCCGATGCAAACTCCCTCGGCGATTTTATCCGGAAGGCCTCACAAGTCTACTGTATTTGATGGGCATTGTAGATGGAAATTGTAACCTGGCAGGAATTGAACCCATCAAATATTATTTATTCGAGTGGGATGCCACAAACATCTTGATATTTATCCACATCCCTAGACCTATCTCTCGATTTGAATTTTTCAGAAAGAATGGCTGATCAATTAAAGGAAATCAGTTTAAAATGAGTTATTCACTGAAGCGCAATCTTTCCTGACAATAATTCTGGCAAGAAATCATACCTGATATATTCCTGGTAGGTTTCTAATGCTTCAAATCATGCCCATAGCCGAATCATTCGTGCAACACTCGTCAGCGTGAAAAAGCCCACTATATCATGACTGATCTATCATAGCGCAGTCTGTACTTGGCAATAATTTTGATAGTCAAAACATGTCGGATATACACTATTTATACTGGACGAATCAAGCGTATTATACGTACAAAATTCGTCTAAGCAAACCGGAATTACGTACGATGACCACTCGTGTACACGTTGATATTTTAATTTCATTTCAAAATCATTACCGCGTGTCATTCATCAAACTTCAAATCATTAACAAACACAAGGCGATTTACGTTTGGTAATACCAGAATTAATGATATTGGCCGCTCATTGCTACACTTTTGATTTCAAAATTTTACGATTTAAATTATTACAAAACTGAACTATGTTCCTTTTTTACTCGTATTGGCTCACTTTTAAATCACACAGACTTCGGACTACTAGCCAATACAACATTAGACCGAAGAAAATATTCAAATATAACCTGTTTGTTTGAGTTTAATATCAACTTCATAAAGTGATTTTTCATATCTGTTTAGAGTTCTCTCAGACATATTTCTCGAAAGCATAAACTATTCCCAACTATTACAATAACAAAAATATCTACCTTTTTATCCGTATATATTCCCAAAAAGCTGTCACTTTATATACAAAGAGTTGTCGGTAAACTTTATAAAATATGTTTTTGTTAGTTTAATAATAAATAACCAAATATTCACTTTTCCACCTGTAGTATTTTAAATATTTAAATCCCACGAAAGTTTCCCGCGATAGAATATTTTCCGCGAACCGCTGTCGGCTTGTGATCGGAAATGCTCGGAAGTTGTCTGATTTTGGATTTTTTGTTGAAAAATCGGTGGAAAAGATATCTTACTGTATTTGAGTTTACTTCGCTCATAAAAAATTGAAGGATTAAATATATGCTGTTAAAAAGACGTTAATATAACGTCTGTTTATATGACGTATGTCAATATGACGTCTGTTTATATGACGTATGTCAATATGACGTCTGCCAAAAAAGCGCATAATTTGCATGACTTTATTGACTTATTAGAATAGGCATCAACTATTTCGCTAACCTCAGAATGACATTTCGTCAAAACTTTTTTCTTCAAGATTGGTTTAGAAACGAATTTGTAGTAGGGTTAGGTTAGGGTAAGGGTTAGGGTTAAAGTTGGTGTTTGGACTGAGAGTTAGTGTAAATAGTGTTAGTAAAACCGTTGCTTTGTTACGTTTTGTCACTTTGAGGCCAGCGAAATAATCTCTTCCATTAGAATAGACCTTTTCATAATGACGTCAAACTCGGATAAGCACTTAATAAAATGATGTCAATAACATTTGTCAGTTTTGGCGTAACGGTTGCAATCACCCCCCCCCCCTGAAAATATTAAAATGGCTGACGTTTAGGGGGGGGGGTAAAAATGCCTCTAATAAGCGGACTGGCTACTGGCTAGGAACCAGCTGTCGAGTGTATTTTGATGACGAATTATGGCGTGGCAGCGTCAGCGTTTACGCTTTTTTGGCTCAGTCGACCTTCTGTGATGTTCCTATTCTGTGATTTTGTGTTTCCCCGACGATTTTTCGAACAAATCCGAACGCATTGTGGGTGATGTATTTTTGCTGTGTTTTGAAATTTTTGCACGTGAAAATTGAATAGCTTGAAAAATTCACAATTTTATTTAGTAAATGTAACTTTGAACGCTTTCGTAGCATTCTTGGGAGTTAAAATTACATGGAGAGTTAGTATTTTGGTGTCTAAACCATTTATATGGCGTAGAAGTTGGATTTTGACACCAGTTAGACGGTCAAGTTGCAATTTTTCCACGTGAAAGAATCTACAGTAAAATGTTTGGGTGTGTTGTGTCTGGTCGACTGGTGAGTTACTTAAATTGTAGAATTACTTGAGGTGGTTCGGGGGCTGTTTGCATGAGCCAGGCTGGCCCGGTTCACCAAGGTGCCCGGGTTAATACAAATCCCTTGACGGAACAATTTTAATTTACATGTAAACCGGGCCAGCCTGCCTAGCCGAGATCTCACTTGAATGAAACAGGGTAACGGGCTGATATTTTCCTGGTAACTGGGCTAGCAAAAAAATAGCCCTGGTAACCGGGCTAGCGAAATAAACTTCTGTACAAGCTACAATATCGATTTGAATTAGTATTTTTTGGACAAATATTTATAGTTTTAAATTGAAAATTAACTCTATGAAACGTGCATTTGACTTGTGTGACAAACCTGACAGTATTAACAAGTAAACAACTTTTCCCCGCCATATTTGGCTTGATAAAATTTCAGCCCGGTTAACTGGGCCAGCCCCGCTTGCCGGGCTGATGTAAACGGCCCCTAAATTGTGTTCCTATATGAAAGTATAGTTATGTTTGTAATAATACTAAATTGACTTATGCTGATTACTGGATATCTTTAGAGGTCTCAGGCATAGATTAAGTATATACTTAATCTGTGTCTCAGGGCCAGATTGACATTTCACACGGCCTGTACGTGGCTTATTATCAGTGCTGGACCCCTTGACCCCC